GCCTTGTGCCACATGATGCCCACGTGGGGGGGGGCTTCTAAATATAGTCAGTAGTTCGTCAGTCGATGTCGGACGACCGGCTGATCGGTTGAACTCTCTGCCTTCGGGCGGGAAGGAACCCGACGGAGGCTACGCCGAAGGGCGGTGTCTCTTTCAGGGAGGTAAACCGATCCTGAACCCGTTTATACGGGTTCAATGGGCATATTTTTCCGATCCCCACGGGCTCGGAGATCCCACGATTAAACCGGCCTTGTGCCACGCGGCGCCCTCGTGGTGGTGGTGGTGGTGGTGGGGTGACTAAATATTGTTCAAGTCAGTCAGTTCAAGTCGAGTCAAGAGTCGAGTCAGAGGCAGTCCGAAACAGAGTCGCGTTCAGACAAATACTGCAAGACATTGGAATAGTGATACTGGTCGAACTACATTGTTCTCGCTACTAAACCTGATTTTTCATACTAACACTTCTACTTCTCTGTATATATTCCTGTTTGTAATATATCTGTGTTATTCCATACCTGTGTTCGAGTTCTTCTTTATTGGTTCTACCTTGGACTATCACCGTGTTACAAGGAACCGGCCATAACATATATATATATAGTTAAACCTAGAGAGCCAGACAAGCTACCACGGTTTCACCTTAGCGAGTCGTCAGGCTTCCCTGACGATTCGCTAACCATCCGCTAAGGTGAAACCGTGGTAGGTTGTCTGGCTCTCGAGGTTTAATTAGGTATGCTCTACTTATTGTATTGAGCAATTTATTTAGTTATTTTGCGTACGCGTATCGGGTTTTTTTTCTTTGGGTTTTGGACTTACATGCTAGATGATTATTCTCGGCTAACGTACATGTTCTTGGTTCTTTCTTTTTTATTCGTTTTTTTTTTCCCTTTGGTATTGGTTTGATTATTTGCAAATCAAGACACCGAAGGTTTTCCGAACGAGTATAGTTTCTTATACTTATAAGATTACTACTGCTATTGATAATATAATATATATATATATATATAGGAGGACCCAGATACAATTCTTACGTAATTCCAATCTTAAAGCACGTGGACCTTGGGGATTATTTTTCCAAGTATCTACGAGAACCGGTCTTTCAACATAATATGGCGATGGATCGTATGTAGGAGATTATTTTTCCACCTGGGGCCACCTGGGGCCAGCGGTAAGCTTAATCGTAACAGACCCTCAAACACAATATCTCCCTGAGAGATCACCCGTTATTATCTACAGACGAAAATCCATGGTCTGCTCCGTGATTGTAATGATTATGATGTATATAGTTTTAGAAGCTTTTCAGTCAAATGTGTATCGACACAGTCGACGTTCAGGTTTGGATTACGTTATTTACCATGACTATTATAATAATTCTTTTTGGCCGATTGCATCTGTGTAGATCAAGGTTTTATGCAATATTTCATCCTAAATGTTGCATTTCTCTTGGATAATTCAGTGGCCATACGGAAAAGCGGACAGCAAATAATGAAACATTGCTAAGGTTTACGCGGCTGTCGTTAAGAAAATATTTACTTTATATAGCTACAAAATGAGTGTCTTGACGATTTAGCCGTGTACGTTGCATAACGGGTATTCCGGCCTGATTATGTTTATTTAACCAGTAAACCTTTACGTGACGCATTTGTTTCGACATAAAAGAATTTTATTCCGAGGCTTCAGCACACTACAGCATAAAAGTGAAACATAAAATCACCGAACAAATGATCAGAGATTTAAGGAGCATTACACTGAAGCAATATCCTTAGAGTAATGATCTTAGAACTGAAGAATTCGTGGAAGGGTAATGTGAGACTGGTACTAGAAGGAATGGCAATATATCAGAGAAATATGAATAGAATGTGTTATATATATATATATATATATATATATATATATATATATATATATATATATATATATATCGAATCCTGCCGGAAAACATGGTTTCTTCATAAAATATTATTATTATTATTCTTTCTCGAATACGCAGGTTAAGAGATCTAATACACAAGGTTTATAATAAAAATGGGGCGTCTATTTCGGATACAAATACTCACGAGCACTAACGTTTGAGTAATAACGTATATATATATATATATATATATATATATATATATATATATGTGTGTGTGTGTATATATATATATATATATATACAAGGCTATATACATTTCTACACACACACACACACATATATATATATATATATATATATATTAATTCGACATATTTGTATCACTTTGAACGCTATATTAATGTGAATTCGTATTTGAGTAGTTGCTCCGTTTATTAATTAAAATGTATATTTATTTTCATCTAGAGGCCTGAATATTCGAGAATTCTTATAAATTAAAATATGCGCTCTCCGACAGGATTCGAACCTGCGTCCTTTGGGACAGAGAATGATTTTACTTAAAGAAACTATTCAGTCTTACTTGATGGGCAAAAGTTCTTCGTGACTCAGTTAGTTAAAGCAAGTCAGATCTAACGACGGTTACAGCTACCTAGGTGGACACAGGTTCGAATTCTACCAGAGAGAGAGAGGGAGGGAGGGAGAGAGGGAAACAGAGCACGAGAGAGTGAGGGAGAAAGATGTGAACAAACTCACATAGATATGGACTATAAAGAGAGGAGAAAATTATAGAAAGGGGGAATAAAGACAGCATTCGACACATACGCACAGATACACATTTACAGGCGGACACAAACGCGCATACGTACTCACGCGCACACATAAAAACATACACACACGGAGAGAAAAAAATCAATCTAACAGCAATAAATGGACTTAGTTTTTTTTGTTTTTTTTTTTTTTTTAACTAATATAAAAATGACGGAAACGAGAATATCGGCAATCAAAATCCTGATACGCTTGGACTAGTGGGCCGAACAATCAAATAAATGGTCTGTCTACGAATCTCTGGAGTCAATGTGCTGAATATAACATCAATCAGCTAAATGATAAATTTTATATTTGTGTTAATCTAATAAAATAATGGAAACGCTAATAATAAAAAAAAAGAAAAAGACAAGACTCAACAGAATTTATTATGAACTCGGCCAAAATGTCCTGAGTGTGTTTAGAAAATAAAAAATAAACGTTCCTGTAACTCTAAATGCAACCATTAAAAAATCCATACACACAGTTAAAAATAAAAACTATCCTTGACAATGTCTAAAAGAATAGCCGAAAGCCCTAGGAATTACAGTGCGTTCGGACAGTTTTTATATAATTCATGTCCAGAAAAGAAAACAGTTATACGAACGCAAGAAAAATTTAATAAAGTACTAAATAAATTAATTAAAGAAATATCTGTACCTTGTCAGTCATCTTTAATGAAACATATACATATTTATAAAAAAAAAAAATTAAAGATCCATTTCGGTTATAATTTATTTGACGAAATAAATTATAACCGGAATGAATCTTTAAGGTTTCTTCTTGATTTATTCTGTATATATATATATATATATATATATATATATATATATACCAATGTAATAAATTATAACCATGGAATATTAGTGTTTGAGGCTTTTATATTATATTCTTACTCTGTCCTGGACATTGAGATGTACCTGGATTCTATCCCCTTGGGAATTTATATATATATATATATATATATATATATATATATATAAAAGAGAGATGAATATACTGACGTAGAAACTACGCTTTAATCCATTAGTAAATCTGCTGACAACTAACCTGGCCGTTTGTCTTGGAAACGACCTCCAAGCATTTGTGGACTGGGGCAGGAATTGGCTGGTTAACTTTAATGCCTCAAAAACAAAACTGCTCTCTATTATTCACCAGAGCAAACAACCCCTGCCTCGCATTAGAATGTCTGACGCTCAACTCCACGAGAGCACCTTTTTCGGTCTCACATTGTCCGCTGACCTGAGATAAACGAATACATTGAGTCAATAACTTCGTCCACCGCAAGGAACGTTGGCTCCCTGTGCCGCGCCAGGAAACTTTTCTCGCCGGAGTCGATCCTTCAAATCTACAAATCAACCATTCGCCCTTGCATGGAGTATTGATGCCATATATGGACTAGAGCCACTTCTGTTTGTCTCAAGATTCTTGATAAGATCCAGAGACGGATATGGAACGTAACTGGTCCTGATCTGGCATCTCCTCTGCAGCCGCTCTCTCACAGACGTGCCGTTGCTTCCCTCTGTCTTTTTAACAAATACTTTCATGGTAATTGCTCCGATAAGCTGCTTTCGCTGGTTCCCAGACTTCATGAATTTAAGCGTTCAACTAGGCTGGCATCTCGCTCTCACCCTTTCACTGTTGAAACTGTTAAATGTAGCCGTCTCTTCTACTCCAATAGCTTCATGTCTCGCATTCTTGCCTGTGGAACTCTCTCCCTTTTTCTTGTTTTCCTGATAGCTATAATCTCCAACTATTCAAATGTAATGTCAATCGACGTCTCCAGATGCCCTGATCTATCCCCTAACCTTCTCTTCATCCTTTCCTCTATCACTCCTATTTGCTTTCGCTCCACCTCTCTGTAACCCCTTGCGTGCTAGTGGCTTCCAGCCTTGCTTGGGTTGAATGCTAAAAAAAAAATTACTTGTGAGTTCAATTCCTGGGTCGGGCAGTTTGTACATGGAGTCACTGGAAACAGGTGGGGAATAACTAAGCCGTAATAGATTAAATAATGGTTTCATTGCAGAATTCCCTGTACGTTACCAATATCGATGACAACTGATGAAGACCATAGCGCACAACGGCTGAAACGTTGCGATAGCGACAACAAAGATGAGGACAATACATAGATAAATAGTGTATATAAGTTCATAATTTATAGCTAATATTTCCTTAACAGCATTCTGTATTTGCACATAAGATTTCACAATATTATACAGTTAGAAGCACAATATTGAACTTGCTTCAAGATCTTTATCTAAGACCTAATTAATCGGATAAAACACAGCAGTCCAGTTTTCTTAATCTGCTAGTAAAATTTTTAAGCGTTAATCTTTTTCGTCAAGGCTTACGGTCATGTCACGCTGAAACACCGCATCTCCTATGGTCACCGAAGATAAATAAGGTCGAGCCTGCCCAGTACCTAGATGGGTGACCGCTTGGGAATACCACGTGCTGTAAGCTTGGATGTGCGGGTGGTGTAATGGATAAAGTCACGGAATTGGAAAACGTAGAGCCGAGTTTCGATTTCAATCTCGTTCGTTATATTCATTTACGTGCAAATGCACTTGGGAAATGTATGAATTCAATTTTCTCCCCCATATATGGGTTAAAGAGTAGGATTTGTATCAGCAATCCATTATTATCTCCAAAATATTCTTACAGCCCAAAAATATTTTCAACCTGCAAAGGGTTGATAAACCGTAAAAAAAAAACAATCAAAATCTTCTGAAAAGCATTTTTCTTTATTCGCATGCCTTCTCAGTAAATTTCTGTATTGGATTGAGTTTAATTTCTCTGATTTCATTTTCTCTTTTAGAATAAAAGCTCTAACAGTTTGGAAGAGTTTCTGTGACAAAACTTTTGGACCACCCTGTATATTTGTAAGTGTGAGTGTATGTCTACTAGACATTATGTTAAGTGTTTTTTCGCATATTGATTAGGGGACGTTTTTGCGTACATACCGTTTATTTTCGATAAACATACGCTAGATTCTTTAAGAATGCAGTCAATAAAGCTTAGTGATGTAATATAATGTTTTGACATGTGCTTATAGTTGATAATGTTGTTATTAGCACCTCGAAGTACTTTCGACGTAAACAATTATGTTCAAGTGGCATTTGTAAAATCAAAGTTATGGCCAGTTTTGTGCCTGTGTAATACAAACGAGTTTGTTTGAATGGCTGTCGAAACGTGAATTCAAACCCGCTCCTAATACTAGAACTAGAATTATTACACATTTGTATACATAAAGCAATATTTACGATTTTTTAAGTTACGTTTGGGAATCCCTGAATTTCTTGGAACTTCGAATGGACGGGCCTTCTCTCCTTGAACTCGGAACGCCAAATATTATGCAACGTTTTTTTTTAACAAGTCATATGCACGTAAAACATAATTAACCAATGAAAATCAAACAAAACAAAAGTAAACAGACCAGAATTTCTTTCTTCGTTTTCTTCATATCTAATTCTAATGAAGCTACATTAGATTGATAAACATTTCCCATTCTTCCTTTATATTATCCTTCTGTAGAATTCAATCCATATTTGATCCCAACCTCATATATATATATATATATATATATATATATATATATATATATATATGTGTGTGTGTGTGTGTGTGTGTGTGTGTGTGTGTGTGTGTATATATATATATTCTCATTAGCCGATTGAGCACTATAGAGAAAAAGGTAATATTATAAACAGTGGGTGGTCTTCAATTACGAATTGAGCGCTCTTGGCTAATGATGTTTGTATACAAGTCGCATATAATAAAAAAGATAGAATCTGTGATTGATGCCAAATCGGTCGCGTTTCAATCCCGGCTTGAAGCAATCGAACGTCTAGACAAACTGATTATCTGTGATACAACGAAACAGGCCTGTACAATTGTGTGTGTGTGTGTGTGTGTGTGTGTGTGTGTGTGTGTGTGTGTGTGTGTGTGTGTGTGTGTGTGTGTGTGCTGAGATTATTTCTGATTCCCCTAAAAAAAAAAGTTATCCTTATTGGTAACCATTCCAAAAAGTTGTGTGTGTTTAATAGTTTATAATAGATTTGGGAAAAAAAAATGGACTAAGATTATCGAAAAAAATAAATAATACCCATACAGAGAAGAACCTTAATAGACGTCATATAAATATATTATATATATATATATATATATATATGCAAATATATATTAAAATATATTTAATGTACTGCTATGTGTCAATGTGTGTTTATTCATACCTTGGAATGTGCATACAAAATTTTATTTTATGTAAAAAAAATGGACTAAGTGTCTCATTTATTAGCAGGAACAAAAAAAATAAAATATTTAAATCTTTTTTTTGATCTGACATATTCTCTGTGCAATATACGAAGCTTTTAAATTATGTAAATTGACAGCGAATGAGAATATTTTAAACAATAAATATTCGTCTTGTAAAATTTTCTGTTTGACATTCAAAAATATATATATATATATATATATATATATATATATATATATAGATAGATAGATAGATTTATACACGTTTCATTAAATAGATGTTGTCTATTTAAATGAAGGGTTTCTCAGAACATTAATTTAAAATGCTTGCAGACATTGAATTTAATGTACTGCTTGTGTTAATTTGCGCATTCAATGATATATTTTGTACATTCATACCTTGGAATCATGCGTTGCATAAATTTGCGCAATAAATTTGTAATATGCATACTAATTATAAAAGTAAAAAAATTTAGTAAATTCTAATATATCAACTACAGATCCTCAAAAAATTAAATTTACACTAAATCAGGCATGCACATAGTTTATAAAAAAGATTAAAACAATAAGTCTTGACACGAATCTCTTATGAAAACTCTAACATTTTAATTTTGATCTGACACAATTCTCTGTCGAAAACACAACTAATATACTAAAAATACTTGAAGCATTTTAAAAATTATAAACAAAATCAACTATGGAATTCAACAAATATTCTTAAATGTCTATAATTTCGAATGAGAATATTTTTAAACAATAAATATTCGTCTTGACGTAAAATTTTTTCTGTTTGATCATTGAAGTGAATATAAACGAAACATACAAATACATATATATTGATATGTTTAAATCTTTTAATATATATATATATATATATATATATATATATACGAAAAATTTTACATAAAATAAATACACAACACTATATTATTTATTTATATATATATATATATATATATATGCACATTCATATTTATATATATAAAGTATTTATTCAAAATTATAATATAAACATGTTATAAACATGTATGTAATATCATCACTAAAACAATAGTTATTTTGTTTAAACAATTTGGGGTCTTGTCAAGTGATGGTGTTGATTGCAGAATAATCAGCACCATCACTTTACAAGACACCAGAAATGTGGAAGCCAAATAGCTATTTTTGTAGTGATGTTATAACATATTTATGTTATCATTTTTTAATAAATACTATTGGCTCTACTTTATATTGAGCACTCATTTAAGAATAGTGTTTTTGGCTACTGGAATATTGTTCCATCTATACCAATGCTATATATATATATATATATATATATATATATATATATATATATGAGAATTTAGGAGAATAGTCTAATAACTCAGAAGAAGCATTTTCAACTAGGAGCATTTTCAAAACCTAAATCGGAGGCTTTGTCACAATTTGAGAAGTTAGACGAGCAGATAAACATTCATCTTCTACAGATAGATAGATAGATAGATATTAAACTGAATAAAATAGATATATAGGAAACATCATAGATAGATAGATAGATAGATAGATAGATAGATAGATAGATAGATAGATAGATAGATATTAAACAGAATAAGATAGATAGATAGATAGATAGATAGATAGATAGATAGATAGATATTAAACTGAATTAGCTAGCTAGCTAGCTCGATAGATAGATAGATAGATAGATAGATAGATAGATAGATAGATAGATAGATATTAAACAGAATAAGATAGATAGATAGATAGATAGATAGATAGATAGATAGATAGATAGATAGATAGATAGATAGATATTAAACTGAATAAAATAGATATATAGGAAACATCATAGATAGATAGATAGATAGATAGATAGATATTAAACTGAATCAGCTAGCTAACTAGCTAGCTCGATAGATAGATAGATAGATAGATAGATAGATAGATAGATAGATAGATAGATAGATAACAATTGAGCAAGTACGACCGAATCAGCCCCAAATATTCCCCGAAATTATGAGTGTGCGTGCAAATTCGTATCTCGTCGAAAATTTAATGGCATGCAACTCTTCGCTTTGCCTTCGTGAAGATTGGCTTTGCTTTATGTGCTCAGATAGCTTCAATTATGTGAATATCGATTGGATTCGCTTTCTACCAGCGCCTGAGTCTCTCACTTACCCTTTCATCATTGTCTGATTATAGTACTGGGACACGAGGAAAAGCGAGAGTGTGAACGAGAATTGAAAAAGAAGAACGAGATTTTGTAATTTGAAATTCCGATTCATATTCCTCATTTTAGGGGCGTGTTGCTTGGAAGCAGAATCTGAATAATTGCTTGTTGTTGTTCATGCTATTTATTTTGAATGGAGGCGTAGAAGTCTCTCCTGGGCGCCGCTCCTTTTCTCTGGCTAAGTCGTTCCGCATTCTTTCGATAAATCGAATCCCTCTTTCAGTAACGACTGTGGAGTTTCGAGTTTAATCAGAGCCCGACGCAAATACACCCACTCTCTGTTTCAGCGATGCTAGAAGATCTACGAAACAATGAAAGAGAAATTATACATTCGTAATTTAAGTAAGTAATGAGTAGCTTAAGTATAGGCTGAAGAAGACGTTGACAATAAGCATTGATTTTTGGGGGATCTAATTTGAAACAGGAAGCTTAATTCCTTTTACACACAGACATAAATACTTATATATATATATATATATATATATATATATATATATATATATATATATATGAAGAAATGTAGTCTTAAGATGTGCTATATTTATGGTATAAAAGTGCTCAATATTAGAGATAGAGTATGTGTAAAATATAAAGGTGAACATAGAAGTCAACCCTTAGAGGCGACAGTCTGTTTCATGTATAGGTGCAATCGTCAGGTGACGATTGCATCTAACAGACTGTCACCTTAAGTATATATATATATATATATATATATATATATATATATATATATATATATATATATATATATATATATATATATATATATATATATATATATATATATATATATATATATTAATAAAAGACCAAAAATTATCACACCCGATGCGTTTCGTCTTCTGATGTAGTTTATCAAGGCAAATGTAAGGATTTTTGTGTTGTAACAGACACACACACATATATATATATATATATATATATATATATATATATATATATATATATATATATATATGTGTGTGTGTATTCATTCATATATTTTCAATACTACTAACAAGCTGAATTTTTTCTTATGATGATGGCCATAGTAGCCGCAACTAGTCGAGGAATCTAATTCAAATTATATATATATATGTATATATATATATATATATATATATATATATTATATAATTAATTTATATATATCAATTACTATATAAAGGCTATTCTCAAATTGATTACTTAGAACCGATATTATAAATGTGTTCAATGCATAAAGAATATATATATATATATATAGATAGATAGATAGATAGATAGATAGATAGATAGATAGATAGATAGAGAGAGAGAGAAAGAGAGAGAGGGGGAGAGAGTGAGAGAGAGGGAGAGAAGCAATGTGGAGAAAACCTATTACTTAAATACTCAGGAGAAGACAAAAGCCTTGAATAGTAATGATGCGCTCATGAAACCTCGGCCTGAGTGAAGTAACACCACTCAGTTAAGTGATAAGTTAACCACCATTAATTCTATTAACGGTCTATCCATAAATTTTGATATCGAGCACTTTAAGACAAAAACCTGATGCCTAAAATGCCTTTCCACCAGTAAACTACGAAAGAATAACCAGCAATTTTGGCAACTAAAACCTCTTGTAACTTAATGCTATATATATATATATATATATATATATAATACTATACATATATATATATACTGTATGATAACATATATATAAGCTATGTCTGACGATCGCAAATAGCGTCAAACATAGGGTCACAACTCACATCAACTCGTCTTTCCCTCCTCTTATTCTAACATTAGTTTGTCTATGGTGTGTATGTCACCACGAAATGTATTTTATGCATTAGACATCCGACAACATTCATTTTCTCTTACTTAAATCCCTTCCACCCACCTCTCTAAAATTCTCTCTGTTAGGTTTAATCTCCCTCCTCCTCATACTTACTCTCTCTAAATTCTGTTTTTTATTTCCGGGGTTGTTTTTTTCTGTTTTCTTTTTAAATTTGTAGGTCTGATGAATTGGATCGTATTTACGATTCCAAGGAATAAATTATGACCATGGAATATTAGTGTTTTTTTATTATTTTTTATATATATATATATATATATATATATATATATATATATATATATATTTTGCATATATATATATATATATATATATATATATATATATATATATATATATACCGTTCTCTAGCTAGTAGATATACCATGGCATAGCATGGCACGGCCTCGTTCAGTTGAATTAAAAGACAGAAAATTCTACTCTCAAATCTTAGCAAAATATCAATATGCGAACCGAAATGTTTTAGATATCTTTGTTCCAGAAAGAATTCCTCTTTTCCAAAGACAGCATACATGACTAGAAAAACTTTTAAAACTTAAAAGAAGCGTTTAAACTCATCCTATTATTTAAATTTTATAATACATAACTTAATCCAAAACTAAGATTATATAAATATTAAAAAAAATGGCCCAGCGATAAGATTTACAATTTGTTTTTAAGGCATTAACTTTTATCAATTTAGTATTTGGCAGGTTCTCCTATCGTACGTTTCACACTCCTCCCCGGTCTTTTGAATAGAATTAGTGGATTTTCATTTGTTTCCTGCTTATGATTGGCTTTCTGACTTATTCTAAAATATTCATATAACTTTTTACTCCCAGTAGCCTCTTCTCTCTTCGTGGTATTATCGCCTTCCTGATGTTCTGACGTTTGGTCCCAGGATAACTTCATATACCTCCCTGTCTCTGTCTGTCTGTCTGTCTGTCTCTCTCTCTCTCTCTCTCTCTATATATATATATATATATATATATATATATATATATATATATATATACCTTGTGTGTATATGTGTGTGTGTGTTAGAGAGAGAAAGAGAGAGACGGGGGGAGGCAAGGTGATGTAGTGGATAGCGACTCAGATTAAGGAATTTCCACTGTTAAATAAGGTTAGGTCGATAGAGTTGTTTAATACATAAGTCCTCTCTAATACCGAGATGTGTCCGGTAATGGAATTTATATAGAATTTTTGCGTTTTCAACAGAACTTTTCTTAAGGATTCTTATAAATATAGATGTTTTTTTATAGCACTTTTTTATGGTAAGTGACACATGAACTGTCTACTCAAGGAGGTAGTAGTGTGTCCCATATAAATAATTGATTTGTGACAAGAAACGGTCTTGTACTGAGCTGCGAAATTCATACATCATATTGGTCACTCCTTGGTTAGATTTGATGGGGGTACTTTTAATAGTGGCAACAATGTTTTCTTTTTCTTCGAGAATTACGGCATACATATGATGTTTCATGATTCTTCGCGTAGCGAATTCCTCCTGCTTATGAGATCACGATATATTGCTTTTTATATATCAAAAAAAAATATTGGGGAAAAATTTATAACAAAGTGGAAAAAATAACAAAAGATGAAAAGATTTAAAGAGGCCATTGATCGCAAGGACTGCCGCAGTAAATTTGTGCTCTGGTTCTTAAATTATTTCACCATTCCTAGCAGATCTTTCATCACAGTGTGAGATATCTAATAACAAAAGTGATGGAAACAAAAAAAAAGAGAATCTAAATTAAATCGAAATCAGCTAGGTTATATATATATATATATATATATATATATATATATTACAATGAATCATTTATACAAAAAGTAGATTAATAAAGTTAATGACATAAAATGGCGAAATCCTTTCGCAAACAAAATTTTAAAAAAGGTGCATTAACGAATCATTCGATGAATGGTATGATCCTTGTTTTTTAAAATTATAAACTGTATAAGGTCTTTCTTTAATATGCTAGTACTTTCAACTGTACATTCTGTCATCCTGAGGCATGGAAATTATTGATATATATATATATATATATATATATATATATATATATATATATATATATATATATATCAATTTGAAATTCAAAATAATATATAGTTGCAGCAACATAACAAATTTAGTCCGATGAAGTCCTAAAACGAAACGCTTTGCACGAAAAAAAAAAAAAAAAAAAAAAATTATATATATATATATATATATATATATATATATATATATGTATACGATGTATGGGTGTGTGTGTGATGGGAAAGTTTCAAAGCATTTCTATTTAAATGAGTGGAATCTTCAGTGGCGTATTATTATTATTAGTAGTAGTAGTAGTTGTAGTAATAGTAGCAGGCATAACTTTCGACATAAATGTAGTGTTCCGTTTGGGCAAAATTCAGTCCTTTGATGGCGAGACGAAGTTACCTCTCAGATGCAAACCAGTACGGTGATCTATGCCGACCGCGCCCTGTTCAGACTTCATTGCCCTCACCACCCTGTTAGCCGTACCGACAAGAGACAAAATAATACAAGGCAATACGTTAAAGGGCGTCTTGGCTGCAGGAATTGACATAAATTTGTCAATGTTGACAGCTTTCGAGTCTCCAATCCGTGTTTTTTGTCTGGATTTATTTCCATGGTCTTTTCTGCATTTGGATATGATAACAAGTCGGCCGAGTTTTAAAATCAGGGTTTTTCTTCCGCTGGATGGACTGCCATTTTGGACTATCAAGCTCCATCTACCCGAAACAGCTGGTTATGAGTTGACTGTCTTCACCCATTCTCTACTTAAGAGCTAGAGTTAGTTGTCAGAGACTAACTGACACGGAAAGATTTTAAAGACAGTGGTTTGTCAGTACTATCACTCCCGGCTTTGACAATCTTTGGAACATAACTAAATTGTAGGTATATATGAACTTTATATACATGGAAGCATAATAACACGTTTTCAGCTACAAAACCTCTTTTTTACAAAACATTTTGAGGGGGCGAGATAGATATTAAATGAACATAGATAGATAGATAGATAGATAGATAGATAGATAGATAGATAGATAGATAGATAGTATTGTAACCTAGAAAGGGTTACTAAATGAGGAATCAAACCGGAGGTTGGAAATAGAATGGCAATTTGTATAGCAGCAACAAAATACATTACTCGCCAGCACCGTGAAGTAGGTAAACCACTGCCAGTGATGGACTACTTAGACATCATATTAGCTCCACTTACAATAGTGTCCAACGTATTTATGAGGATTGGAACATACCCATTAGTGTTCATAGGTACGATATATAACAGATATTAGATATGTACAGACTGAGATAGATAGATAAATAGATAGATAGATAGATAGATAGATATTAAATGAACATAGATAGTGTTGTAACCTAGAAAGGGTTACTGAATGAGGAATCAAACCGGAGGTTGGAAATGGAATGGTAATTTTTATAGCAGCAACAAAATAAAATACTCGCCAGCATCGTGAATTAGGTAAACCACTGCTAGTGGTGGACTACTTAGACACCATATTATCTCCCTTTACAATAGTGCTCAACGTATTTATGAAGATTGGAACATACCCATTAGTGTTCATAGGTAATTTTGATATATAATAGATAGATAGATAGATAGATAGATAGATAGATAGATACAGACTGAGATAGATAGATAGATAGATAGATAGATAGATAGATAGATAGATAGATAGATAGATAGATACGTGATCTGAATCTAAGGCAATGAGCTATAAATAGATTAAGTTTTGTGCTGCATAAATATATTTTCTCACATATTCAACAAAATTCTCTTCGCAAATTCGACCGAATTTTCGCAAACATCACTGTAACCGTTGCTGAAAACTGTTATCCACCCCTTACCTGTGCTCATATCCCTTGTGTGATCTCAGTAAAATTTCAAAAATCTTCGCCGGATGCGTGCTACTTTTAACGTCTGGGAAATCTAATTCAAGATCATCCGTGCTTAATTCAAAATAATAAAACAAAATAAAAGCATGGAAAAGGTCAATAGGTCATGGCTATAAATAACATAAAACATTGGGGTTAAATTAAAGAAGATTTAGTTGAACTGGGAATCATGTACGCATGACTGCTTCGCGTATTCGTAGGAAAATCTTCATGACGAATTAACGGAAAGAAAACATGTACGTGGTAAAACCAAAGCTATGATTTAAGGATTACATCTGTCCGACATTGATTGAATGTAATATTAGATTTTACGACTGGGAATCATGAGTCAAGAAAGAAATTGAGTCAAAAAAAAAAGAAGTCATATCTGGCATTAAGTCCACTGAAGAGTCTTAAATCTGTTGTGGGGTTCGAATGTCGATTTTAGACGAACCCCGTAAACATTAAAATTGGAGAAGTGATTTAAGCCCAGGCAAGGATAATGAAACAAAGAGTTTAGATAAAATATGCCTAAATTTATTATTGGCAAAATAATACAGATCGTAAAGTCCGGATGTTTCCAATGCCCTGGTCGGTCGTGCTTGTGGTTGACAGTTGGTCTTAAATGCGTTGATAGATGGTAACCGGAGCAACTTGAGTGGTGCCGAACGTTGATAAAGAGCTGATGTATTGGGTTGGTACTAGTTGGTAGTCGTAGCCTAGGGAATACGGTTGTTGGTAAGATGACGAAGGCGAAGCCGCTTGGGAGGTGTCGAAAGACGATAGGCAGTCAACGAAGGCCGATAGACAGTCAGTGTGTTGAGCTGGTACTAGCAGGTGTCTTAGCCGAGGATCATTCAAGTGAAACCACGGTGATCATGGTGATGATGAGCAGGGAGTGAAACCTGTATCGCCGAGTGAATTGGTAGAAGACGTGGTCAGAGTGATCAACAATTTGAACAAGGCCGGCACACTCAAACCCTCGGTCACGATGACTTGTGAATTCATGCTAGCACAGCTATCGGCGGGGCCCAAGGGTTCCGTCTATCCAGTTTCACTCACAAGTTTTGGGTCAACTGGTGGTATGGTTTTCAGGCTGGGAATCATGAGTCAAGTGACCTGGCACTGTGGAGGCATATTTTATCTAAACTCTTTGTTTTCGTTATCCTTATGGGGCTTATTTCCTTCTCCAATTTTAATGTTTGCGGGTTTCAAATTCTCCAGTTACAGAGAACTCAGTAGAGTTCCGCCACGGAATATGTAAGCGAGGGGCGCTAAGTTGAGTCTGATTTGGAATCCCTTCGTCACCGAGGCCCATTTGGAACAGTTGGTATGGTGTTCGCTTGACAACCCAACTGTCAGGGTTTCAATTCTCGGTAGTGGATGTGCACTGCTGATGAGTTCCACATATAGGACGAAACGGCCGTCAGTGCTTCCTGCATTCTGTGGAGGTTTCTATCAGACTCGATGAATTAATTAAATATATATATATACACACACTTACGAACTATGACTTATAAAGTTTTCTACACCAAAAGTATTTGTTTATATATATATATATATATATATATATATATATATATATATATATATATATATATATATTATTTATTTAAAAATATGATTCCAATTCATGACATAAGAGGTCTCATGTTTCAAAACAAGAGCCGAAAACTTCAATATAATTATTTGAGTTAAAGTAAGCTCTGTTCCATCTTCAAGCGAAATTTTTTTTTGAATAACGTATTTCTGAAATTTACGTGTTTTAATAATTGAAATCAAAATTTCCATGGTAACATCTAGGGCGAAGTGTTTAAATTGGCAGGGCGTGTATTTGGGTGTTAATAATAAGTATTAGTATAGAGTTACTTTCATAGATGTCAAGTCAGGAAAGGTGGGGGGTGTCTATATTTGAAACGGAAGATGTATTAACCTAGTCTGGTATGCTTGTCTATGGAGATTTATTTATTTTTATTTTATTTTTTTATGAAAGGGATTTGTGCATATAAAAAACTGCCGTAACGTTTGTTTTTTGACGACTTCATAGAGGGTTATCTTTTTTGTAGGGTATTTAAACTATTTGTTTGGGCTATGGATTATGAAAGTTATATTGTATACTTGTTCTTAGCTAATTATTCAAACCATGAATCTGATGATTGGGCTATGGATTAATCAAGTTATTATATTGTATGATTGTTTTTAGCTAATTATTCAAACCATGAATCTGATGATGTCGACAAAAAACCGTTAACTCATGTCTATTGTTTAATAGATTATTATTATTTAGAAGCTTAATAATGTGCAATTTCTCATGGAGGCACAAAGGGCATGGGTCATCCCAAGTTTTACATGTTTCAGCCCTGTTTATGAATTTACGATTCCAATGGAATAAATTATGACAATGGAATATTAGTGTTTAAGCCTTTTTTTTATATATATATATATATATATATATATATATATATATATATATATATATATATATTATAAATTAATTGATTTAAAATATGTTTTCGCTACACAGTTCTAACCATGTCTCAAAAACAGGCTAGAAAGCTCGAATTTAATTTTTAATTAAATTAAAAAACATTAGTTCATTTCATCCTCAGGCGAATTTTGGAGTAACTTTAAAATTACTGGGTTTTAAAGACACAGCAAAAATCATAATTCACGTTTCAAGGATACAGAAATCCATTC